TTGGGTCACCATCGCGATATCACATGACATTGGTACGTCCATTATGTACATATGTAGCGTGCCACATTGTTTGTGGTGTGTCAAGTTTTTCTTTTTTGTGTGCGATGATATTACAATGTGTCGCAACACACTGGTTGTCATTGTTTTGGCCCATCATCTGTTTGTGTCACATGAGTATTCTGGTAACGTTGGTGTAATTGTAATGGGTGTGGTTAATTTCAATTCTTATTTGTATGGGTTTAACATGTCCATTCTTATTTGTAAGAGTGTTCTAGTAATGTTGGTGTACTTATAATATGTGTGGTTAATTTCAATTCTTATTTCACAATTGGAGTTTTAGCGTGTTATATTGATTGGAGTGCTATGTTTGGAAAAAATACACTAAATAGGTTTTTGTGTGTGTGTGTGTGTGTCCTTGTGTGTGTTACATTTGAGTATTACGTTTGGAAAAAGTACAATAAGAAGTTTTTTTGGGAGTGTTATGTTGTCACGTTTGAAAAAAGTACATCAAAAAGTTTTTTAATGTGTTATATTGGAATGTTACATTGTTGTTCGTAATGTGGGATTTATTCTAGAAGGAGAAAAAACTCAAAACATCTATAATGCGAATTGCCCAAATATATAGTTTCACATTTAGAGAAATCCATTTTCATTCCTCAAAAATTATTTCTAAACGTGCTAGTGACTACTTTGCTATGTAATTTGTACTTTAATGGAACCTTTGGATTTATAAGAAGAAAAAAAAATGAAGACTAAACAGATCACATCATCACATTTTGAGATTTATTAGTACTGCACCCATATTTAAATAATCCCACATCTTTTTGAAATTTTTGAAGAATCTCATATTTCAAATCATTCCAAATAAAAAAGATTCTCATATAAAAATTCATCCTAAATTTGATTATCAAATATTGTATATCTTACCTTTCTAGCATAAAAATAAAAAAAATAAAAAAAAAATATAATAGAAATAAAGGTATAGCCGTAAATTTAATTTTCAAATAATATATTAAATTTACCTTTTCAAAATCAATAGGACTAATTGGTCTATAAGAAAACTCTTGGGACTAATCGAATCATCATTCCTTAATATGAGATTTATAGATAAATTTTTCTTTAAATGTTTGAAAAGGGTACAAAAACTCTTTAGTAAGTTTGAGCAAATGTATAATTTCAATCTGTAACACTTCAATATAACACTAAACTGTGACACTTTAAAAAAACTCCTTAATATAAGACTTTTATATAATATACCAAAAAAATTTTGAGTGTACTTTTTCTAAACGTAATATTCCAATGTAACACTCTAAAAAAAGAATGCGAGATTTTTCAAACTATTCCAAAAGGGTGTGTGATTCTTCAAACTATTACAAAAGGAGTACAAAAATTCCTTAGTAAATTTTGGGTAAATACATAATTTCAAACTGAGCATCTCCAATGGTAGTAGGCATTTTACCTATCTAAATATTACTATAAAGTATATATTTTATTTTGCCTATCAACTGTTTTATGTTTTTACTCCAACCATGCTCTTTATTTTAGCTATTAATCCAAATACTATTAATTTTATAGAATGCCACGTCAGCAACAAAGATGGAGGGAAATGATCCTAATGATTGAATATATTTTGCCTAGCGTTGAAGGCTAGCTACATGTAGCTAGTGAATATGAGTTGAGCCAAAATGCCTAATCATATGCCTAGTGCGTTGGAATTGAAAAAAGTGAATCAAACTAAGTAGTTTTTCAGTGTTTTTATGTGTGTTATTACATTGGAGTATTACGTTTAAGATTACATTGATTGAAATATTTCATTTGGGAAAAGTATATTAAAGAATTTTTTTGTGTGTTACATTAGAATGCTACGTTTGGAAAAAGTTTGGAATGTTACGTTGTTATGTTTGGGAAAAGTACACTAAGAAGATTTTTAATATGTTACATTGGTGTTACGTTCATAATGTAGGATTTGTTCAAGAATAAAAATTCAAAACCTCTATAGTGCGGATTGCCTAAATGTGTAATTTCACATTTGAAGAAATTCACTTTTATCCCTCAAAAATTAAACCCAAACGTGGAAGTGACTATCATTTTGTATAATTTCCCCTTTAATGGGACCGTTGGGTTCATAAGAAAAAAATGAAGACTAAACAGTTTACAATATTACATTTTGAGATTTATTGGTGCTTCATCCTTAAAAAAAAAATGATGTCATTTTTCTAAATAAAAATTAAATTTATTTTTGTTTATTTCCGTGTTTACACACTATTTGTATTAATTTCAATTACTTTAATCTTTCTAAAATAGAGGTCTACATAATTATGTCAAAATGATAGACTAACTATCACTCTGTTTAGTCTTGATTGCCAAAATTCATTTTTTGGAAAATTTTAATTTATTTTATTTTTCATATTTTTTTTGTTTTCACTGAAGTTTTTTTAATATTTTAAGCAATTTTTTAATTTTTAAACACACCTAACATAAATACACTTAAAAAAATATAATATCTGTAAAAAAAATCTTTAAAAAATTCACTAAACACTAAAAATATTATAAAAAAAAAATTCAGTATATTTTTCATATTTTTGTATGTTTATTAATTTTTTAAAAATATTTTTGTATAAATATTTTACTTTTTAGATATATCTAAGTAATGTGCATCTAAAAAAGTAAAAAAAAATTAATTAAAATTTTAAAAATATTTATTAAAAACATAAAAAAATAAAAATAACTCAATTTTCAAAAAAATTAAAACTAAACACACTATTTTTCTCAAATTCGAAAAGAGGTAAATGCAATTTCCCAATTTTTTTACGTGTACTGCCGCATTTGACTGACAAAAGCTAGAAAATCATGATTTTGAAAATAAAGTGATGTTTTGGGAAGTTAGTAAAAAGTTAATTTTTTGACTTTTTTAATCTATTTTATCTTTCTATGAATAAAAAATATAAGAGATGATGTGACCTAAAATGAGTAAAAAGCTAAAAGTTAACCTTTTTTTAGCTTCCCAAAAGACCCCCAAATTAGAATGGAGCGACCACATTAAGCACTGGTTTGAATGTTGGTTTGAGGGTGGGTTGGAGTTAAAATAGTTATAAAATGATAAAATAGACTTTTTAGTTTCAGGCTAAATAATGTTACATTTAAATTATAATAATTTTATTTTCCATCTCACAAAAATCAAAAAAGTCAAAAAGTTCATTCTAAACAAGACTTTTTAGCTCCAGGCTGAAACAGTTAAAAAGTCAAAAAGTTAAAAAGTCAAAAAAACAACATACATCCCAAACGAATTGTAAAACTTTAATTTAAATTTAAAATTGAAATAATAAAGATTAGAGTACAATTTATGGCCAAGTATACTAATAGTCCATATTTTACCTCTTTTGTTATGTTTGTCCTTACACCTTTAATTGGTTCAATTTTAATTTGTGTTAATTTGGTTCAATTGATAATGGTGTTAATGTTTTTAATGAAAAATGACCATTAAATTAGTTGAGATTAACTCACTAAGTTAAATAAGTTTATAATTTTATCTTTAAATGTATGACACATATTACCTATATTCATACTTTTGATTAAATAAAAAATGCTAACAAATATAAATAATTTGGAGTAAATTGAGATAAAATCAAAATCAAAATCAAATCAATTAAAATTATAAAGATCAAAATAACACAAGAATCAAAATATAGGATTATGTGCTTAATTTGCCCTAAAATTTAAATTAAATTATTATAGTGATTTTTTATTTTTATTTTTATTTTTGAAAATTTCTGCTCAACAGAAAAATCATTTACTCTCGTTGGCCAATCCCATACCACTCAAACAGTCATGCTGATGTATCAATTTTGCTTATTTGTTTAAAAAAACAAAAACGAAAACAAAACTGGCAACTGTTGACACGAGAGCTTGCACCAAAGTTTTGAAAGCAAGAAGAGACCAATTAGTCATATCAGATAATTACAAATGGAAAAACGCATGAGACCCCAAGCGGAGGTGCTGGGATCTCTTCTCATTGGTCCAAAAAATTATATATATATATATATATTTTTAGTTTTCAGTCAATGACAGCCCTTCATGTGACACTAGGGGTCACTGGGGGTCACCCCATTGGGGGTCCTAGCAGAGCCCTTACAAATGGAAGTAGCCTCTGATTTCCACTCGTTAAAAACACTTTTCCACTATTTTCATATTTATTACATGTGATTGAATCTTGATCTTATCAATTTCCTTATATTTTGTGTTTGGATAATTCTTAATTATTGATGTCTTGCTTATGTCAAATTGTTGTATTGCATGTTTGGCTTGAAATTATGAGTGTTGTCTATCTCATCTCATCTCTCTTCATAAACATCAGAAGAGTACTGATCCCTCATGCTGATTGTAATGAATAATTTACTAGAGTCAAGAAGGGTCCTTAAAAGCATGTTCCTTCTTTACCAAAAATTTAAAAATTGTATATTAGTGACATATGATTTTGGGGACAGCAAATCTATGTGAAAGTTGAATATGGGATCAAAGTATGCCCTTGTCCTTCCATTCGTCACAACTCAATAAAAGGGTTAGGGTCAGTAAAAAAAGCTGTTGCCGAGAATTATTAATTTAATTTTATCTCATGAGCACAAAGACTACTTTTATAAGTTAAATTCATGGCATCCACTTCAAAAATTAATAGAAGGGTAATTTGGTCTATAAAATTTCAATTATTGTGGAGTCTAGATAAGATTAGACATACACAATCTTGTACTATAAGTGTGTATTATACTCATTTCAAAACTCAATATAAAAATAGTTATAACGTATAATAATTCTGTCACTGTAAAACTTAAAAAATATCTGATGTCCTCAGTCTTACGTCATGCTCACGAAGATTGTTTTTATAATTTGAACCCATAATATCCATATCAAAGCTCCACATAATTACAATATACAAGACCGCCCGTTATTATGAAACTAGAAAACAAAAAACAAAAAACAAAAGAAAAAAAAATGTAGCAAAGCAATAGCATGGCCCGGGAAGAGGAGAAAGACGACACAATTTACTTCCAAACTGTTCATCTTTGGTACAATTAGGGCCCATGAAAGGAATATTAAAAAGAAAAGCACTTTATTTTATGTACATCACCTCCTATTTCCCTTTTCTTACACCAACATACCTCTCTATGCACTACGAGGCACAGATCATCCACCTCCTTCTCCTCCTCCACCACCACCTCCACCTCCTCTACCACCACCGCTGCAACGTCACTTCTCGATGCATTCTAACACTTTCAAAAAGTCACCAACCAATAAAAATTACACCAAGGAGCAAAATAAGAGCAGCATTGCCGGAAAACACCCGACATACCGGGGTGTTCGCCTCCGGGAATGGGGAAAATGGGTATCGGAGATTCGCCAACCGAGGAAAAAGTCCAGAATATGGCTTGGAACGTATCCGAGAGCTGAAATGGCAGCTCGAGCGCACGATGTGGCATCACTTGCAATTAAAGGCCACTCAGCAACTCTCAATTTCCCCCAATTGGCCCACAAGCTTCCCTGCCCTGCCACCGCCGCCCCTAAAGACATCCAAGCCGCAGCTGCCTTAGCAGCCACTTCTGAATTCGATGAACCGGGCTTGGATGACGTGGTAATGACAATGCCTGATCATAATCATCAATCCAATGAAATTACCACTACTACTACTACTACAAGTTCATCATGTGAAACTCAAGAAGAGGAATTGTTGGGTAGATTGCCGGAAAGTGAAAGCAATGATGCATTGTTTGATCTTCCTGATCTGTTACCGGATTGTGTGGATCGTGGACACGAGTTCTGTCACGCTTCGTGGTTGCAGATGCCCCAGGTTGATATTGGTTTTGAACTTGATGAGGAGGTGCCATTTTTATGGGATTATAACTAGAAGATGAGCTTTTATATATACATAGATTTTTTATTATGACATATATATGTAACTATCTATTTACATATATATCTTGATTTCTTTCTAGTGCATTTGGTGACCATATGTGTCTATATATGTTTTTGATGTTTAGCTCCATTTCGTCATACCAATATTAGTAAATTTCATATGCATGGTTTTTGAGGAAAGATTAAGTCTTTCAACTGATCTAGAAGGTGACAGAGGGACCATAAACTATGCATAGTAAGTTCATAGGAAAACACTAATTGCACATAAATAAATTCATTATATGTGTAAAATGTAGTGAACCTCTCACAAAAAGATTAGACCTACGCAATATGAGACCATGCTAAATCCTAAATAACCATCTAGTGAGAGGTTATGTGCAAGTAGTGCTGCTCAAGTTCATAAAAGTCTACTCTTCAGTCGTGTCATGGAATGAACCGTGAAACCGTGTTGTTTAGATCTCAATAATTTGCTATATATATTCATTTTTTAATGTTTTTGTGAATATATCATTAGTACAAGGACCGAGAGTAATAATTGTTAAATCATATTTATTTGAAAAAATAAAAATACATATTTTTAAAAATACAATACATAGTAAAATGATTAATTATCAAGTTACAGTTATTATATCGATACTTTTTTTTTTTTTTTGGTGGTGTTGTTGGTAGTGCGTTGTTTACCACAGAAGATATAATTAAGGAAACATATTATCAAAGTGAACCAACAGTCAACTTCTCAATCCCAAAAAAACCCCAGAGTATCTACTATTGTCATGGGTTTCAGTGCATTTTTTGAGCTTAACTCAGACGATTTGTAAGTGAAATTATAAATTGTGATTTGGCCGATTTTTAGTGAGTCGATAGATTGAAAAATATTCTAATTAATTATTAAGTATTTGTATAATATATGTCACTAATTTATATAATATTTTTTATATATATAACACAAACTAATTTTACATAATATATTTCATATATATAATTACTAATTTGTAACAAATTTCATATATTAAATTTTTCACACACTCATTTTTATTTTAATATTTCATTATAGATTAAAAAAGTATATATGTATTCATTGTAGCAGGGCAGAGTGGAGCGGTTTCGAAGGCGGATTATAAATTTTAAAGTTTAAAATGCAGTTACCAGATAGAGCGGTATAAATTGATGCGGATCGATGCGATTTTAGCAGATTTGGCAGTACTTTGTACAATCCTATATCTATATATATAAGAATCACTTAGCTTCTTAAGGCTCGTCTTTTGTTTCCGATTTTACCCTTTCATTTTGAAAAATTTACTAATAGTGGCCTAAATGTTGAGGGAACTTTTTTTTTTGTAATTATGCGAATATTCTTGGTCAATTATGCAACAATTTTTTTTGTAATTACACGAACATTCTTGCTCAATCATGAAATAAGATTTTTTTTTTCGTAATTATGCAAATGTTCTTGATCAATTATGAAACATAAATCTTTTATTTTTACTAAGTTACAAATATACCCATGAAGTTTGTTTAAAATATGAATCAGTCCTATAATATTAGAAATTACAACTATCGTTTGTTATAAATTTTCATTTAACACAATACTCAGGGAATAAAAAAATAATCCTCTTATGCAATAATAAATTATCAAAATTGTTTATTGAAAAATATTTCTCATATCATTAAAAACTATTAATTGACTTAATGATTTATTTATTAACAAAATGGTTAACTAAAAAATATTTTTCATATCATTAAAATTTGTTAATTTACTTAAGGGTTTACTTATTAATAAAATTGGTCATTTGTTATGCGATTTTGATTTATGTATTAATAAAATTAGTTATTTGTATATATATGTATTTTCTTTTGCTTCTTTATTAATTCAGTGAATTATCTTAGTAATTTTTTTTAGATGAGAGAATTATCTTAGTATTTTTTTTTTATATTTATCTGTTGAGAAAGGTACACACCATAATTTTTTTTTTTTTATAAATTCGAAAGAAATGTTAAAAACTCATAAATTCTCCCAAAATGATGCAGTAATAGAATTGGAGTCTACATCATTGGGTGTGCAACAAATCAAAAAAATGATACATATCATACCACATAATTCTATTATATATCTAATAATTTATTCTATTCAATTTCATAGAATAATATTTTAATTTTTATTTGGGAAAATTACCAAGAAGTCCTCTTTGAAAAATGTGTGACCTATTTAGTCTCACAACCTTTTGTTTACACTCAAAAGTCCTATAACGTTTTTCTTCTTCTCAGCCTTTATTCTTCTTTACTTTTTCCTTTTTCTGATTTCTGGCAATCGTCGGTAGGCAACCACATCTTACTTCTTCTCTTTCTCTTTCTGATATATAGTCACCAGCGACCGACGACTACCATCGATTGGGGTTCAACGGCAACCACCGATCACCGACTCCTTACTTCACCCTCACCGACGATGAAGAAGATATGTTTCTGACGAAGAAGATGAGTAGATCTACTTAAATCTGATGTAGATCTATATTAGATCTGAGTAGATCTACATCAGATCCGAGTAGATCTACATCAAATCCGGTTATATCTAAAAAAAAAAAATAGTTGTCGGAGTTTAATCCTCTCTATATATGTCTCTCTCCTTCGATTACTTAATTTTTTTACATTTTCTCTGCTACAAACTTCTATTTTCCTATTTTAATGGAGAAAACTTTCAAGCTCTGAACAAATTATTTTCAAATTTTAGTTACAAGCAGTGAAAACTGTAAAATTTTGTTGTTTCAATTTTATTTTATTTTATTTTTTTTTTGTGCTAGAATGAATCATTGTTTAAAACTGCAAAATTTCGCAGTTTCATAGCATTCTTTAGACCTGTAAAATTTTGCAGTTTCATAACATATTTTTCAATTTGATTGATAAGGATAAATGCTTAATAGCTTTTTGCTTTGGAACTGTAACATTTTACAGTTTCAAAGCTTACTTTTCAGTTTAATCAATATTGAAGATTATTTGTTTAAACCCTACGAAAATTGAAAATTAATATATGTTTTTTTTTCCATTGTTGTTGTTTTTTTTCGTTATATTTTTTTCCCTTTTAGGTTATCAATATTTAACATATTTTCCTATGTTTTTTTTCGCTCTAATTTTTCCATTTATTCTTTTTTTTTCCCGACAATATTCTAGACATTCCTTTGAGTCTCTAACGATATTCTTAACGCTCAGCAAACGTTCTGAATATTCCGACGACTTCTATTGACGTTCAGAACACCCCGGTGAACTTTCGGCAATACTCTGGCGACTCTCCGATAACTTTCCGGTGATGTTGAACATTCTGGCGAGTCTCTGGTGACCGTCTGACAAAAGTCCGACAGTAGTGGGATGTAACAATGTCTGTAAATTAAATATATATATATATATATAGGATTTTTTTGGTAACAATTAAAAATATATAGGACTAATTGGTACAAGTGTTTTGTTTTGAGATTAGATGTGTTTTGAACTTTGTATATGAGACTTCTTGGTAAGTTTCCCTTTAAAAAATTATCAAAATACAAAATTTAAACATATTGAAATAATAGCTCGTGCCTTGCATGGGCCAAGGCACGGGCTATTATTACAGTATGTTTAAGTTTAAAATATTATTTTATGAAATTAAATAGAATAAATTATTAGATATATGATAGAATTATGTTGTACGATATGTATCATTTTTTGATCTGTTATACAACCAATGACATAAACTTCAATTTTATTACCATATCATTTTAAGTGAATTTATGAATCTTTAACATTTTTTTTTGAATTTATAACTTTTCTCAACAGATAAATTACGCTAACGGTCACTATAGTTTGGGGCTTGTGTCATTTTGGTCCCTAACTTTTCAATTGTGACACATTTGACCATGAATTTTGAATCTTATTCCAAATAAGAACAATTGAAGATACCATTTGATTTTTCAAGGGCAAAACCGTCAATTTGATAAAATATAACTAATTTGACAAAAATAAATGTCAAAAAAATATTTTGGAATTTTTAAAAATTATTTCTACCCACTAAAAATAAAATTATGTAAAATTGATAAATCTTTTAGACATTTATTTATTTATTTATTTTACC